CCAAACTGTCGGTTGTTGAGATTAAAACCAAACACTTGTTGAAAGAAAGCGTATTCAGGTGTGGATAAACGACATTCTGGCAGCTTTATACGTTCATATCACTTCTGGGAATCTCGCTGCATCACGTACCTTCATCACACCGAGGATGTAGGTGAAGTTCAGCAGGTGAGAATAATTAAACGACGTGAAACTGGATGTGAGGATGGTGTGAAAACGGAAGTCAACGTTGTTCATCAGATATGGGTGTGAACGTGTAAAAACCTTGAGCAGGTTATCAAACTGGAAGCCACCTTATGTTAAATATTAAACAGAAAAGAAAGGTGGGGGATAACACATGTTGTAAAGGAGAGGAGGAACTTTCAAGTTCAGCTCATCATCATTCTCCTAGCGTCTGGGAAGCATCCAGTGTTCCAGTACATGTTTTGTTCTTGGCTGTTCTAGACTGTCTATACGTAGGTCTAAATAGCCGATTCTGTGGCTGTTCCGACGTGCGTACGATTACCGACCGTTCTGTTCTAATCTATTTACGTGCGAAAGTAACGCTACTTGTAGGTACAGTGTGTCGTCAGAACGGTCAGACTATCCCTTACTGTCGGAAGTGGCATGGAGAATCCGGGTAAGCTTTGTACGAGCAAAGTTCACATTCGGAGAGATGTTTACTTCCGTTCAAACACAATCCCGTGCTTCGTATCCCATGATTTACTAAGTTCACGCATGCATATCAATTGGTTTCTACGCAAGTTGAGTATACCGGCGAAATAAACTTCTAACTGTTTCTGAAAGTCACACAATTGTCTCACTTAAGATGAAAACACACATCGGCCGTCAGTTCGTAAGGTCAATGAGCATCGATTGAATCACGTTCGAATTCCGAGTGCAGATACACGTGCTGGGTAGTGAACTCAATTATGTCCGTTGGTCTATTTTGATGGGACAGACTTGGTCGGAAACTGATGCCAATCCACTATGCCTCAGTCACGAAACTGTGCTAAAAACCACGACATGCGCTTTATTATCCGGTTAATATACTTATCTTTCAAACTGCAAAAGTCGAGACTAATATCTTCATGCCGGAAAACGGTCCCAACTACATCCGATACTCTTCCGCGAAGTCAGCAAGATAAAAACAAATAAGCGCCCATCATTGTCTTTCAGTGACTAGCAAATGAATAGGCCCCGTTCAGAGGTCGATATTGGAAGACCGAATGGAATTTATTCCAACTCCCTAACCTGACGCGTTGGACACGTTTCCAGTGAGCAGAACCAATGCGGGGAATTACCTTGAATCGGATAAATGGCAATAGATGCACAAAAATCGGAGGCCTGTGTGTGACAAGAAAATCGAAGAATTTCCACAATTGAATTCCATTTTGTCCGTTTAGAGCTAATTTGGTCAGAGCAGCTGTGAGTAACCGTAGCCGTACGGAGGCATGTCTGCTGTAGGCGACCAGAAGTAACTTCAAGCCCAAGAATCCAAGTCTGTGAGTGAAAGAAAACATGTGAAACAACACAATGCTATCTGAGCTTGTCTTCAACTTTTCGTAAATTTTTCAGAAGGGTTTGTGAGAGGTGTTCAGTTGGATCAAGTGAATGATACATCTGAAATAGAGAACGAGACTATACGTATCGGTCTCACTAGTCAGGGTGAAAGGCAAACCAGAAGATTAATTTTAGCATCATAAGACTTTGAATAAATGTTATTCCACTCTGTAGATGGTGCTGGATTAGAACAGGTGTCACGTTGCCTCAAGCCATGACCAGATAACGACAACCAGACTGAAAATATGTCTACCAGTTCAGTGCCCACATTACCCTGGTAACAAGTATCCAAAAACTCGAATGGTTTCCACATTGCTGTTTCCTCTCCTTTGCAATCGTAAACTCAGACACTTTTGTCTTATGGGTTTTAGAATCCGCAGGTAACTGGGCAATACAAAAGCATGAGGTTTGATGGCCAAAACTTTTAGAGATGTACAGTCAAAATAATCGGATAGAAATTTTTTTTAGACCGAGGTTTCTGCCATCTACTGTACTGTCTAGGTAGGCCTTTTTGCCCTGATCTTGGCGCAATTCTTATTTTTCATAGGGGTACTCGCAACCACATAGAAAGGAACGTTCTCCTATCGATGAAAACTGAGTACCTTAAACATTGCCAGGAGAACTCAAGCGAAGCTGAGGTTACAGAGACATATGTAGCTTTTAATTTTCCAAGGCGGTGACTATAGATTTCGCAAAATTCAGGTGAGAGTACGAGATTGAAAGGCTCGTTTGAGATATGATGAAATAATGATTTTGTTTGCTGATAAGTCAAACTGAACTGAAGGTAGGATTTTCTGTTGGATTTCTGGTCAGTTTATATCGAAACATCCTCGGGTTTCGTGGATACCGGGACCACATTCACAGCCCCTATAATTGAACATTTCGTTGATGGAGGGCCAGGGTTGACAGAAATTTTTGATGTGATTATTTAAAGTAAACACCAAACAAGATTCACGTGAATCCGTTAGTGGAGTCAGCGACCAGATCAACGAATCTGTCTGAAATCAACGCCTCGTAATCACGTGATTTTCTATCTACTTGTTGTCAGGATCTTGCATTCTACGAGCATTGCGTAAAACTGAGTCTGTGTAGTTGGAACACTATCTGCTTGCAGCTGAATTTACCGTTATGTAACTTACCTATGCGCGAATTCTCCCTTGAAGTTCTTTGGCTTGTCACTTGTCAATGGAGAACTAGATACTGCAGTTTCTGCATGTTTTGCGTGTAGGGCTTGATGGCGCGCTTTCTGAGGAACTAAGGATGCAACAGATGAGCGCGATTTTGTACTCAAACTTTCCGACTTCACAGTCGGATGCTTGGTGGTTATTGAATTTGGGTGGAGTGTCACGACTGGCATAGACGATGTATCCTTCTGCGACAAAAAAGCCAACGTAGGACTCAATAAACGTGTCAGGTTTGAGTTTGTTCCATCCTCTTGCTCATAGCCCAAGCTTGAAAAATTGATAAGCTTCACTAAAGTTGAACCACCTGGGAGGTCCATACCAACCGGACTTGGGTTTCGCCCACCGGGGGAAGCAATCTCGGTCACATGTCTTCCCGATTTCTCCTTGCCTTTCTCTCCCATGGCGTCAATAAAAGACGGACTTGAATACCCCCCAGAAGCAGCACTTGATGCCCGCTCATTTCTACTGTTGTTGCTTTGTGAGGTAACTGGTGCGAACAGTGCTGTGATACACACATCCATGGCGTAGAAGACGTTTTCTTTGGACAGGGTGGGAGAATCTGAAAGTTTTCGAAAGGTCTTTATTAGTATCTGTTCTTGTACAAGAACTAGTGGTCATTTTTCCCTTGCAGTAAATTATTCGGAGTCCTTTTTAAATAGGACATTTGGATTGGATGTGACAGATTTCGGTCTTAACTGTTCTGCATCGAGTAAGTCTTCAGTTACAGAGCATCCATTAATTCAATACTTTCCTAAAAACTTCCACTGTAGCATGCAACACCTGACCGACAGCAAAAGTTGGTTTTCCTTTAGATAGAATTTGCTTTAAAATCCCTGTTGTCACTGGCAAATAAGGGTACTTGTATAGTGATTTCGAAACTATGGGGGAACAGTTGAATAGGGAGGCGGACGGAGAGCAATAGGCAGGCGGACGGAGAGGTTCATTGTCCTAAAGGTCAGTAGAGTTGATATGTCCTCAAAACAACTTTGTCGAAAAACGGGGGAATGAGCGTAAAGTCTAACTTGAGCCCGTGGAAGACAAACGAAGAAGGACATCGATGAAAATCCCTGACAACCGGTCTTTTTATTTGTGGGATAGCGAGCTAAAAAGGAAATTATGAAGTTCTTGTGTAGAAAAGTATTGGGATTTGCGTCTTTGTAAGCGTTCAATTACTGCATTTTTTTCGCCAAGAGGTCGTGGTAGAGACGGAGATATCTACCAACAAGAATGCATCCTAGAAAAGTTCATTTCAAAGATACATTTTGGAACAGAAAGTATTATTCGTCTCAGAGATTGGAGAAACGGTAATCAGAAAAGAAAATAGGAGGTTGGTACATGAAATCGGTCGGAAGTATCGCTTAGGGATGGGAAAATCTCATTGAGCATATTGGGAAAAAAGACCGGTGAACAGCAACAAACTCCACTGAAAATACGTGGCCAACCTAGTCCACAAATGAGGCTGTGAAGACATTAATACACGGTGTCAATGAATGCAGTCCAACGCAGTATAAGAGAAACAAGCTCGTCGAGGTACTTGCCAATAGAAATTGTGACGAAAATGGCTCCTTGAAGGAAGCTTGTGTTAAAGTTTGTTTACTGCAGCCAGATGACGGGCGAAAGAGAGCCAACAAGAGAAACAACCTGAGTGGTTTACCAAGGTGCTATAGCAAAGCAATATAATCAAGAAAAGTATATCCAACAGCAAGTTTAACATAAATCACAGATAGACAACAAAATTGAGAGCCAACAAGAGAAACAACCTGAGTGGTTTACCAAGGTGCTATAGCAAAGCAATATAATCAAGAAAAGTACATCCAACAGCAAGTTTAACATAAATCATAGATAGAGCAACAAAATTCTATGGCCTCCAGCATGCTACGATTGCTTTTTGAGGTAAACTGGAAGGTAACAGAAATAAAACAGATACCTGTGACCAAGTGTCGCGCAGTACACCCTTATTAACCAGTCCTACGGTAGCTAGAGAGGAATTGATCGTATGTCGTGTGCTGCTAGTCTCAAGAAAGGGATCGATGCCAAGATTATTTTGTAAACTTGTCAATTAACCCTGTGAGCTGGGGAATGGAATACGCTTTGGGAGTGTACGTCAAGCACAAAAGGCAACAATACCTTTCAAACAGAGCAGATGGAAAGATTAACGGAGTTCCGCTCACAATGTTGATGCTATTCAATGAGTCCTCCGAAGATCCAGTGCCTGTTATTTCGGTGATCGGTGCAATTTTCAGCCTGGTCATAACCCTCAGTGTGTGCCGACACAAATCTTTGACCATGGCTTGCATGCTCTTTGCGTATTCGCGGTCCTCTTAATGAGAGGATTTGACCGGTCTGTTGAGAAGGAATAACTTCCCTATGGAGGAAGGCTGATAGAATGGCCAAAATCTCAGAGCGATAAAATGAGACATCACGGAGAAAAGGACCTTCAGTTAGATTATACGACCAGTTGAAGGTCGAGAGGCTTAAGCAGCACGAAAAACGCAGGGATTATCAATCAACCGTGAACATGTTTCTAGATAGAAGTTGTTGGGAAAGGAAATATTATAAATAGACAGCGGATACAACACAATGTTGCGGCCAGAGGTAGTGAAGAAGGCGCGGACTTCGAATTGAACAGTCAGGGGGGGGGATTTGGTACCATTCCTGGTTGATAAGCCAACCAAGTTGTGCGGACCAAAGGGAAAAGTAGTTCACACAGGTTATAGCACAGCTATGTGCGAGTATGTCAAAAATTAGAAGTCACCCAAAAATTCATCGAACATGTTGAAAGGCACTAGAGGGAGCAACGCATGGTTTGGTGAAGATAAGTTTGCAAAGGTTTGGGGTTTACGAACAACAGTGAGGTGTTAAGTATCCGAATATGAAAGGAAATTTTCGGCTCAAAAAGCACAATGGAGGAAAGACCTACGATTTGTTCCCCTCACTCTATTGTACGGTCCAAACGGGAACGAGGTCATTAAGGTTGGGCACGAAGCCTTAGCCGTAGTGCGTAAACTGATAAAATGACTTTCTGCGCAAAAAGTTCGTGTCGAGTCCGTTTGTGACCATAAGCCTTGGACAAAATCCACGTTAGGCTGAGATCCACGGTAAGTGAATTTTTTTGAAACGAATGTTTCTGATAACTGATGATGACGTCCATACTGAGTAACTTTCCACTTTGCAGTGCGTGACAAGTAAAATAAGCTTAATTTGGACGAGCGGAAAAATTCACGAAACCCCAAATGATTCAGAAGAACACAGGTTTCCAGGTAGGATTTTCAGTGATGACTAAAGGAGAACAACAGCAGGTAAGGGCTAAAGCGGCGTCCTCAGTTCAAACTTGCTTTGTCCCACCCGTCTAAATATCTGTTCCGACACTGGGCAGTAAATTTTGGACGTTATTGAGGGTGGGGTTGTAGACCACACATGTTTCCCCCCATGACGAATGAGGTAAGGTCCCAGTTCCCCAATGTTTGCTAGATAACCGCGTTCCTTCCCGGGATAGTTCGGACCAAGTTCCCAATTTGACATTCATGTGTTTGACGTAACAAACCTTGTCAGTTCGATTGTCTGAGTCTGACTCATCGTTCTGCGCCTTGTCTTCCTAAGACGTGGGCATGAAGATTTCACTGTTTAGTCTTAGTACTGGTGATGACGTGCTGCTCGAGTTTCATGATTTTGATTTTGTGCATTTTTTGTGATGCCGAAGGCTTAAGTCATCAATTGTGTTGTAAGCAGCATGTTTATCATAAGTTTCCCAACTAGTGTGTGGTCAGAATACGCGGTTTAGCCGGCCTACGCTCGATTCCAATATATGGCATGTGCACAGGAATGCATTCTTGGTACTGAGCATACTGAACATTACTAATCAGCTAAACCGGTTTAGAAAAATGACTAACGAACTACGCTCAAATGTAAAATAATCTAGTGTTTAAGGGAAACTCAACTGACTATCTTGTTTGTGATATTCTTCGGCTGAAATGTGTTGCACAAAGTCTTTCTCTTGTTTCAGTTGGAAAATCATATCAAATGAGACATGAAGAGAGCTTTGTGCGGAACGGTTCAACTGAGGAATATCACAAACAAGACATTCAGCTGGGTTTCAAGATATCGCAGCATATTTTCTTGATAGAACACCCCCTAATAGGGTTGAGGAATATCACAAACAAGACATTCAGCTGGGTTTCAAGATATCGCAGCATATTTTCTTGATAGAACACACCACTAATAGGGTTGCCGAAAACTCTATGGCAGAATCTGGTAGATTGCACCTATCTTGTCCGCTCCAAAGGAGACGAGACCGTTTGTGGTCTACCAGAAAGTTTTCAACAAACCTAAGAGTGCTTTGTTCGTTCAACAGTGCTATAGATGTTCATCCTCGAAGGATTCTAACGAAGGATTCATACGGTCAGCCTGACAATATTAATCAAATGTATACGGTATTTTAGCAAAGTGGCATTTACAAATGACCAGCATTTTTGGATGGAGTGTGATCAAAGTGCTTCCTGGGAGGAATGGTGTAGAATAAACTTCCAGCATTGTTTTGGGGTGTAATTGTACAGTGAATCAAGAATTATTAAATACTTTAAATCCCCATGAACCGCATTCAATTATGGAGAACTGTTGTCGGGTTTGCCCGTGATTTTTGGATTTGTTATCGATGAGAATAATAAATTTGTTTTTAACCACTAAAAGTACCTAAAGATTGTTTCCATCAATTTGTTTACCTGAGGAGACTAACACAAACTCTGTAAAACCGTGAACCTATGATATCACTCGACCAAGCACGTAAAGTAACCTTAAAATTTGGTTTACTTGGGTGAATGCTGCTGAACGCTAAAATGAAGCTGATTATTTCGTAACAAGAACGGATGTTTTTCGTACGAAGAAGCATCGATGGCCAATCCAGCGTCGGATGTCGTTGCTTTACAACTGTCACAAACCGATAACAAACGCTTCTAGAAGTAATTAATGCAAGTATCAATTGCGTTCTGCTGCACGTTATATCAAAGAGAATAGAAAAGCAATCGAATTACATACACTGGAGCGTTGTCTGATCAACAATACAGTCGTCGTTTCCAATGCCAATAAAGGGGACACCGCTTGATACTAGGTGAAAGCACCTGAATTTCGAGGTATATTGTACCATGTGAAGGGTGTAAACCTACGCTTAATAGTTAGTCAGACAGAAGGCTCGGGGAAGGGAGGTCTGTGATGGATCAGACATTCACGCGTCTCGTTCAAAAGCGAACGCAAAACTATATAATTTAATTTGAGTCATCGGTTAGTCGCTGCTCCCGACCAACACCAGAGTGACCTTTTGATTTGACGAGTGGCGACTCGGAGTGAATCCTGTGTCAGTGTAGTTTGGTGCATCGATGCAGCGTTTTGCGATGGCGTTTTCGGGAACTTGGTTGGCGACTTTGTAACTGTTCTGCGATTTGCACTCATAGGTACCCTTCCTTTCTACCCAAGTACGTGCTTTCATATGTATATTCATTTTTAAGGGCAGTCTGATGTGGACAAAATAGACATACCATCCATCACAAGTGACGGTGGTATTCGTATCGTTTTGACCACACAAACCACAGTAGCTGTAGCGCACTGCACTACAATCTAGGGTCAACAATTTACATGGATGTACACATCTCCCCTCCGGAATCCTGAGCAGATGTACAAATCAAAGGGTTACTCTGACTCTTGGCGAAAGATGTGGTTATCCAAAGTCTCAAAATAAACGTGTATATTTTCAATGGAGACTTCAACCTGTAAGTGAGGCCAGTTTAAGCTGAAAAGCCTAGAGGCACTGTACAACTGCTGAATTCTTATTGGAGAGCATTAGTAGTGGGAATCTCACGAAACTCAGTAGAGTTTCTAATTTACAATCTCTCTGTTGGTAGTTGAACACGAGCAGCTGATTGACAGCCGGGTTAATTCGTACTTAGGATATAGCACCACTCATCCTGCAGTCACGGAGTCTACCTTGTCTAGAATGATAAGGTTTAGAGTCTGATTTTTAGTGAGATAAGACCTGCCACATATCTCACGGATCTGATTTTCTTACCCGTTTTTTGTTCACCTCCAATTCCAGATAAATGTAGGTTTACCTCTTTCACCCGATTAGGTATGCATAAAAAACTCAGTGACTTTTCACCAGTTGTCAAGTCGTGGCTCCAGTATCGGTTGTCGAAACCTCGATGTCAGCTTGTCTGCTTGTAGTCAACAAACTATTTGAAAACTCATTTTAATACATGCTATCCAAAAGATGACTTTGTATGAGTCCTCATCCGTGGTATGAGTGAGTTGTGTCGTGTGAAGGAATGTGCAAACATGTTTTCTGTATGCTTTCTGTAACCAAACCCAATCACATACAGGTGAAAATCACGATGTTGATTCGGAAGTGGGGTGCTTGGTACAATAAAAGAGTTACGTTATTAAAACATCTATGTTTCTGGAATCGCAATGTACTGATCTGCCGGAGGTCCCGGATTCGCTATTAGCCAAACAATAGAATATCAAAAAGAAACAGATTCGTCATCCGACATACCTTTCCTTCCGGAACTGCAACGAAACAGCAGTGGAATAATTAATTGTCCGAGATAAACTGCCAACGTGTGAAATCCACCTTCCAGGATAGCCGGACAACGCGTGTTGTAATCGGGTCCGCAGCGTTCACACAAGTCCTTGAGAGAGAAGTTGGGCTGGGGACGATACAATATTTGTGGTGACGATGAAATGCGCTACTTCGGAAATTGGGAGTAGTATAAACCTGAGGGGCAAATTATGTTAAAAACGGCTGTGCCCTGAAGCAGCTCAGAGGCTGGACGTACGCGGTTACGAGACAGGAACGGCGCTATTGTGTAGACAAGTACTACACCATATTGTTGAATTTTAGATGGCAGCGCGAAATTCAGAGCAGCTACCGCCAAACTGATTGCTGTGAGATCTTCGCACCTTCCTGGCCTGGACACACGTGGGTAGTTGGACACCCCGCTGGACATGGCATGCAACCGATCCCAGTGGAGGCCATGCTGTCATTTCCCAGGCTTAAGTTCGCCGGTCGTTATGCACTGGTGTTCGGTCGGAAGACGTCGCTGGGATGGTCCCGCTGATGGCGAATTACGTCAACTTGTCGCCCAAATTTGCTTATTTTAGTGCTGTCCAAAGGTGTGAGAACTTTGAACATGAGCATTTCCCTTAAGGACGTAAGGGTTCTGAGCAATGGAGCACTACCACTCCCTTATATTTCCAGTTTCTACTAAGGTTTTATCCTCTGGTGGCTGTATGACACTTAAGAACCAGTATGCATTATTGGTATACTGCCGTCAATGGTGATGATGCTGATGATGATTAGATTGAGGCTGGAGTGCGATCAAGACGGAAAAGTTACTCAGCAAGTTTAGCTGATCAGTAGGTGGGAGAAACCGATTTAGATAGAGTTCATTCTTAAATGGAACAGCCAATCCATGCGAGGAAATGAAATTTCGTGTCTGAAGAGTACTCAGAAGGCTTCCAAATCTAAATATGTCCAATTCAGATTTACTTACCCCTAAAGTTTGGATTACCAGTGCAATCAGGCGTATAACTTCCGCGGCAAATTTGAACGAGAATGCATTTTCAAGCGACCGTTGTGCACTAGCCTCAGGATGTTTGCGTGGCTGTGTAGAACTCGCTCCTGAAGGCGTAAGATGACTGCCATACTCAGAAGTAGTGTTGAGCAAACGCCCCCTACGCGAGGCACGACCAGGATAGGATAGTCCGACACTACTGCTTTCAGGCGAGATACCTCCAAACAGGGAATCTCCTAGGCTTTGTCGACTTGGTACGTTTGTGTTGGAAGACCATCCGGAAAGAGGCAAGTAGGGGTCAACTCGGGTTTTTGCAAGAGCCGGTAAGCAGCCAGCAGGATCGAAGATTACTGATCTCTTGAGTGTGTCAATTAGGACCTTGTGAAAAATTAAAGTGTTTCGGGTCAGGTAGCAAACCATCAAAACGGAACAAACTAGTGGATTGAATGAAGATGCGCATTGTGGATGGTTTGTGGTTTAATTGCTGTAGACAGAAAATAAACTGTGACCGAAAGGAAGGTTAGCAAGCCTTCTACCATGAAGCTTCAACATTCACTGAGATCTTTTTATGAATATTAATAATCTTGGTTTCAGAGGACACTTCTCTGGTCGACTCTGTCACGATAAAACCAACTGAAAACGTTTCCCACAAACCACTACTACTACTAATTACTATGTATGCTTTCAGTAAAGAGACTTAACAGAAATCGGCACGGTGGCAACACTCTATTGAAAACTGAAGGTTTTGTTAACGTCACCAAAAAATGGAAGCATTGAAATCCATGGTAGTGTTGTTTTCTATAAGGTACTAAGGAAGTAAATTGATCAGTTGTTGGTAGCTGAACAGATCAGTTGTGCCATTATCATTGCAAACAGCTGGTGAGAATGCAAAAACAGTTTCTTTTAGAAAGAATCAAAATAAAGACGAAAAACGTTATTCAGTTCGCAACTGGCTGCCAGAATGTACACACTAATGTAGGGCTCATTGCATGATGTCTCTCCGAATAATTAGAAAAGTCCAGCTGATTCTTCTAGCTTGCTTTCCACAGAGGCACCAACTTTTATTGTAATTTTCAGTTCTTTTCGCTCCCAAAATTTCCAGCCAGAATGATGGAAGAACAACAAATAGGTTGATGGCAGTCAGTCGGGTAAGTTGCGATCAATCATAAAGCACCCAAGAGATGCGACACGTTTCAGGCGTCATTCAAGCTTTCCAGGCCTGAATTTGTCTATTGCATGACTGTTCGATGTGTGTTTCACAATGGAGATGACGGCATCCCTTCCTGGTCTTTTATTCGTTAGGTTGGTAATTGTACAAATCAGGTGAGAGTTCAGTACCAACCGGGTCGTTACTCTTACACAACTGTATCTAAAACTCAGGAATGCTGGCCTTGTGCTCTTTGGAAATCGGTAATTTCAGAAAGTTACAGTGGACCTAGTTAGTAATAAGGAGAATCAGAGCAGTTCATTTGAGAGGGATGATTGGTTGAGACTCAATCAGGTGGCGTCAGGAGCTTGCAAAAAGTGCACTTAAGGAGAGAATATATTTCACCACAAATTGATTCAGATGAGAGTGTGAGGAGAGCTGACCAGTTTCAGTTAAGGCTTTGTTCTGTAAGTGAACTTAAGATACACCGAAAAGCCGAAACACGTTTTACAGCTGCTTAATATTTGGAATCAGCAGCAGCGTTAGTCTCAAATTAAGCTAAATTTCATCTTAAGTTGGATTTATTGCTTCTCCAAGGCTGACTTCTGTGCAGTTTGAGCTAGTAACCCAACAGTTGTATTATTAGTCATGCGGTCAACGGAAATGCATACAAACGTACCCGGATTTCTTTCAGGTGTGCGATAGAACGGTTTTTCTTGATGATCAAATACACTGACCGAATGAGCCGTACGATATCGTCCCAGCAGAATCTTGGCTGAAATGATCAAGAAGATAACAGATAGTTGAGATCTGACCCGAAAAATAACTAGCGCAATGCAATGAGGTAAACCGAATAAGTGGTAATGCGACCATATGGTTTTGCACCACTGGAGAATATTTTTGGTGGTTGTTGATTTCAAAGTGCAGTGAATTTAATAACTAATAAGGGGCGAGAAAGTAATTTGCATATTGGCCATTCTCTCTTCGAAATACACTGCGTTTCGAAAGTACCACCGGGCAAATTGGCTCAGTTTGCGAAGCTCAGCGAACAACCTGAAGACCGATCAATCGATATAGGTTACGGACATCGTCAGTGCTTAATGGATGCTGTTAGTTCGCAGTTGGTTTGGGAATCTGCAGAATGACGTATTTTATCAAAACCCATAACGTAACCAAGATTATTGAGGATCTACTTCCCACCGAAGACTCCGGGCGCGAAGGACTTCATTTGTTCGCTAGCTCGTTCGTTAGCTAAAGGAATCAACGTATAAGATGCGTAGCGTAAAAGATGATTACGTAGCAATCATCCCTCAGGTACCATTCAAATAGATAAGCCTTCAATTGGAAAGGGAATTTTCTAGAAAGATAGTCGTCAGAATGAGAAACGAAAGTCGGTAAACTCGTGTTTATTAGCCAGTCATGGGCCAAACTAATCATGTCACGCTTAAAGTAGAAAAAACACCGACAAATTAGACTGCCTCTGTCATTCGTTCACGGGAAAGCTTGACAACCGTTTTCGTCCATTCATTTGGTACGATCGATCGCAATCTCCTGAGTGCTCTGGCGGTGCTTTTAGTTCTCAAAAGATGCAAGGCGGACAGAGAGATCAGCCATTTGAATCTAAGTAGTACCAAGCTGTTAGCAAGCCTAATCAATAGGACGTATAAAACACAATCCCTTTAAAGCAAGTTCTTCTGTAAGACTAAAGATCGCTTTTTTGACTGAACCAATAAAACAGCCAACCCCTCCTCAGACTGTTTTTAAGAGTTGCTCCTTCTTCCATCCTGTTGCAGTCATTTTATTCCTCTATGTTACATTTCGGAGAGGAATAGGTCAACCATATAATAATCCGCTATGCACTTGGACTCATCGAATGGATTAAACAGGATCCGACCGCCCATTGTTCAAGCTTAAAATTCGAACTTTCCACACTTAGCGATTACCATCCTCACTGTTGAGAATAGC